CCTGCCGCGGGGACTTACGCCAAGAGCGTAGTCGCGCCGCTGTGCCCAGGCGCGCGGGCGGTATTCACGAAGCTTGGCGTACGCGGGGCGCGGGCGCTGGGCAACCAGGGAAGTCGTGGAGCTGTTTAGCCGTTGTTTTAGCTTTTCAGCTCTTTTATTTATTTTATTTAGAAAAACATTCCCTTCCAATTTTAAACTTCCTCTTTTTTTTTTTTTTCTCCCTACAGTGTTCCGTAGAGAGTTCAATCAGATAAGACAATCCAGCAGAGGAACTAGTGCTGATGAGCGTGGCCGCTTACATAGCTTCCTGAGGATGTGTGTGTGCTAAAAGAGCTTCTCTGGGACTCGAAGCACTGTTTAAAGTCAGTAGGTGTCTTTTTGGCACGTTATCTGTCCAGTCAACGAGTACAGCTATTCTGGAGTGTTTTTAGGGAGAGATAGAATCCTCCCTGTGAAAGTTTGGGATGGCACACGCTCGCATCTCAGCCAAGCTGCCCCCTGAGATAGATCCCACAAAAGCTCCTGTTGCGTTTGGGATGAAGGCACTTCCCAAGCTGCACGAGGAGTTACAGTCTCCTGAGCTGCTGACACAGCAGAGAGCATTGATGGCTCTCTGCGACCTGGTCCATGATCCAGAGAAAGTCTACCAGGCAATACAAATAGGTAAGTGACCTGTTGCCATAAACTCTGACACAGTGGGGCAGGGTTCAGGGGGGAACCTCACTTTGCTTTCATGGGGTACTTTTTCCTTACAATATCTTTGGTGACACTTCAAACTGTGAGATAAAAATGAGTTTTGCTATTTCGAATTAATGCTGGAGGTAAGAAGTGTTAAAATGGACTGTGGTGTCTCACAGGGTTCTTGGCTAACCTGGTCCTGTTGCTGGCACATGAGGACAGCACTGTCAGGCAAAAAACAACAGAGGTTCTCAACACCATGGCCATGCACAGCATTGGCAGGTAAGTGTAATTCCAGGTTTACTGAATGGTATGGGAACTGATAAAGATGTTTCAGCGAGAAAGAAGAACAGAATTCCTCAGTTTTGTCAGATAGATGCAACATAAATAAGAGTAATGAAGATTAAGTATCTCACAAATAGATATGAGTTATTATGCTGTGTTAAATCTCCTCTCCCATGTTGTTTTTAGGCAAGGGTTGATAAAAAATGGAGTGATTTCTGCCCTCACTGATCTCTTGGATGATCCAGTCGATATCTGTCGGAGGAACACCCATCAGATTTTTGAAACTATGGCAAAATTACCTGAAGGTAGGGTGTTGGATACTTAACTACTCAAATGGAAAATGCAGATAGGTGAATGTGCCTGATTCCCTATGTGGTATGTTCCAGACTTACTTTATTCCCTTTTCCTTGTAAAGTGTATTTTAAGACAGTATCTTTTCTATTTTAATTCCCTTTTCCTTGTAAAGCATATTTTAAGACAGTATCTTTTCTATTTTTGCTCATCTTAGTTTTCTTTAGTTTCCTACATGTTACGCAAGCTAAGGTTGCCTGCTCAAGACACAGGCTGTGGCCTGCATGCTTCAATTTGTATTTCAGAATCTTGCATCAAAATTTCACTTTGTTCTCCTCTATTCAAAATACGGGTCAGCTGTTCATCATGGTGCACAAATTTCATAAATTTTCTAATCCGAACATTAAACTTCTCTCTTCCAGCTGGTGAAAACTGTAACTTTAAAATTAATCTTTCAGTAGATTCCCTATTCCCCCTTCTATTTATAAGAAATTAAAAATGAATGTGGAGAAACTATTTACATCTGTGAAGCAAGCAAAATTTAATCTTTATCTTCTGATCCTATATTCAAGTCTCCCAGCGAGCTTGATGTGTCTAGCAGTATTTTTATAGCTTGCTTGAGTCATGCCTTTCTAGGTGAAATGCTCTTCCAAAGCTTAACTTCTTCAGCTATGAAATTATGCCAGATTTTGACCACTTTCTCTGTCAATGTTCGTGCTATTAAAAGCCTCCATGACTTGTTTAGGACAGAAGTCCTTGACAAGATTAAGTTAGTCTTGCGTAGCTTTCTACAGACCAGATTTGCATACAATGTCCTTTGACAGTTTGGGGGTGGGAAAGAGAAAAAACCTGCAATCCTCAGCCTGTCAGGTATGTACAGTCTGTAAGATCAGTGGTGTAGAAGCTAAGATAGAATGTTGTCTGTGAAAGCATCTCTGAGTAACTATCCTTGGTAAAAAGGGTGTATTTCTGAGCCATGCATTCTATATATTTAGCTAAAAAATATAAAATACATAAAAATGTACATGTCTGTTTAAGGGTTGGATGGTAACACCTTGAGCAGAACTGTGTTACTGCAGAAGGCACTCACACACAGATGGCTACTTACAGGAAAAACAAAGGTGCTAAAACTTTTCTTTGCTATGAGACAATTTGGGGAATTGTCAAGGAGAACAAGCAAATATTTTCCAATAGGTAGTAAGAGTCACAAGGCCTGAGATGATTAATTTGACATACTACAGATACAGAAATAGTCTCTGCTTGGTAATTCAGCCTTCTTCAGCCAGCCAAGAAACTGTCTTGCTCTTTGCATTTACTGCTACACCTCATGTCAGGATAATGAGATAGGATGTACCTTGGACCAGCTGGAGGAAATCAGCAACTAATGCACCACTCCACAGCTCAGTTCCTGATGTTGTCTAGAGCTGAGGCAATTTACAGGCCGATAAAGCAATACTCTCTGTGCTGGACAAAAAGGAACATAAGCTGCACATGCACTTGGCATGAAGAGTAGTTGTTTCTGTTAACTGGGAAGTGGTCAGTGACTCCAGTGAGCTCTATGCCAGGCCACCTGTTCTGTCTCCAAACAGAAGTAATTTAGGAAAATGTAGTTATTTTAGGCAAATCCACTAACAGACTATTTTTGATTCCTGAATTTAAGGATGTATACCAGTATCTTCTAGGAACAGTGGGATAGTTAAAAACCAAAAGGTGGGAAAATCCACAAAGACTGGGAGAACACTGAGGTTTAACATTTCTGTAAGAAACGAGAACTTGGTGAAAAGAATTAATGGGCAGAAGAAAGACAAAAATAGGATAGATTTCTGTATTCAGTAAAGGATAGAAGAGGGAGAAGAACCACCAGGAGAAGAAAATTAAGAACACTGAAAACGTTAATAGCAAAACTTTCACTGTTTGTAAAAACATTTGGTTGACACACACACAATGGTAGTGAAAGGGTGTTATGCAGTGAGGAATGGCCTGGGCAATAACAACTGCAAAATTAGTTCTAGGAAAAATCATATTTCATTGCAATATGGCTAATACTGGAAAAGTTTAATAATTCTTACCCATTATCTATCCTATTTATGGGTACTTAATCCTTTTAGACAAAGATTGGAGTGGATTGGATCGGGCAATGGACTTTTAAGGTTGCCAGAACATCTATTTGGGAAGAGCCCAAGAGATAATATTTCTCCTACATTACTGACTCTCAGTGTCTCCACTACTCCACCCTTTAAAGATCATAACCATTTGGATGTGTGGATAAGGATTGTTTAAGGATACCTTTTTCCCTTCAAAACTTGTTTTGCTGTATGGAGTGCAAATGCTGAAAGGACAGATGGCATTCTTACTGCAGCAGATGGGACATCTCTTCTGTGAATGTCATTGTTGCCCAGGTGAAGTGAAATCCCAGCTGTATTAATGCAGCACTTTCAGGTGGCAGTGCACTGCATCACTGATAAACCTGAGAACTGAGAAAATGAATGCAAATTTAATGGCATGATTTATCCAGGTGGATGACTAAGAGTCCAGGGATTTCATTTCAGCACCTGTCTTCAGACTTTTTAGTTTTAACTTTCCTCTGCCTCAGTTTTCTTACACAATCAGAAAATAGGATTACTTTACTTCTGTGTAAAACAGAATTTATTTCAACATCTTGAATTCTTCAGACAGAAAACACAATAACCATGAATGACTCAGAACACTAAGATCAAAACCATCATAGGAACTAAACTATTAGAGATTTAATAGCAAGAAATTGCTATTCAGAGAACATGATTCTATGAATTGACCATTTAAACTTAATTTGCTGCTTTGTTCCTCCCCATGCCTATGCTTTTCTCAAGTCAAGTAGGAGCACAAGCAGTGCTTCACATTCTTTTCTCCTTTCCAAGGCAGTGAGAAATGGAACTGGCTGCTTTTCTTTGGAAGTCCCCTTAGGCCTTTTTTAAAGCATCCTGTTCTCCACTTTGTTCTAGATGGTCTCCAATACTTGTGTTGGAAGGAGCTTCTTAGTTGAATAAATATTTGGTTTTTAATATAAAAAGTCTCCTACCCTCCTCTTAAGTGACTACACTTCTGGCTTTAGTTTTCCTATCCAGCTTTCTTACCTTGAAGCTATGCTGTAATGAATGCTAGGGTTTGCTTGTCACTTCTTCCACTAGTCTGAAATGGCCACAGTCCCATGAAAGCCACTGACATCGAATAGACCCTTCATTGGAAAAGGAAGCCCTGACTCACTTTCTACCTTTCCCACAATTCAACTAGCCAATAATAGGATGTTACACTATAGAAAGCAAGTTAGACTAGAAACACTCTACAATTTCCCAAGTAAATGATAGCAATTTAACAGGAAGCAAAGTTTAGAGGATCCTGTAGATACAATTACCAAATACAGCTTTTAGGAAACTCAGAGAGTCAAGCAGCCTGTCTGCAAATATCACAGACAGGCAGTACTATCTTCTCACTACAAGTAAGGCCTAAATACTCCCTGGGGGCATGACAGACCTTTTATACCTTGAAAGCACAGCCTAGTTGGCTCTTTTGCTTCTGCTCTTCAGGTGTAAGTGTTGTCAGGAAATGCTTAAAGGGACCCTGTGGCTTCAGAACGGAGATAAAATACCTCATTCAAAATTAGATAGATTTTACCCCATTATTATGTCTGAACTGAAGAGTTTTTAAAGTCTTTACCTATGACTTGAGCCTCAGAGAGTATTTTTGCTTATGTCACATTCTCTAGCAAGGCTGAAAATTATTATTGCTTGAATCACAGTAGTTGAATCACAGTATTGTAGTTCTCTTGGCAGTCCCAGCTCTTTATCAGCTGAAGTCTCCACATCACTTAGAAAAACCCATCTGCATTTTGATATACTCAAACAGGTCAAAAAATGATTTTAAACATAATGTAAGAAAGATTAAGACTTTTTGATGCATTTTGTAGAAATGCCAAGAACCAAAGGAATAAAACTCCAAGCACTATCAAATATTTTCAGCTGCTGTCAGAGATTATTAACAAAGTGTTTGACGTCAAATTTTGTTTAAACTTCAGGGATATTATTCATCTAGCATCATCTAACAAGGGTCACAGCTAACAGTCTCCCCCAAAAGTATAATAATACCATGCAATCAGAATTTGTGAAGATATAAATGGAAACACATCCCTTAAATCTTACTAAGTTGGTCAAACATAATTTCTAAAGATTGAAATTGCTGAACCTTGATGAGTAAACAGGAGATCTGGAGCAAATGAAAAAAACCTCGTCAGCCTGTCATAAAGGAAAGAAAACTTCACCATGATCTGATCAAATAACTGTCGTAACACCAATTAATGAACACACTATAGACACATTCAGTATCATTTGAATTATTTATTTTTAAGTGGACCATTTAAATGTTGATGTTGTTAACCATTTTGTTTTAATTTTCTTAGAGCCCTTGGCTGAGATTTCTTGCACTAATCATAGTACATCAGGGGAACAAAAGTAGAAGGTGATTTTCCAGTGTGCATGTGTGTCTGTGTCTCTGTGTACATATGTGCTTTACAGTTATCAAACATATATTTACACACCAACTTTACACTGAAGTCTTTAAGAAGTCTTTTCTATGGCAGGGGAAAGAATCAACTGACCAACGACTTAGGTCTATATGATCCATTTGAAATTTTCCAGTATAGTCCCACAGAGCTTCTTATGCATTCAGAGTTTTGCCGGAATGTTATTCCATCCAGTAGTGTTTCTTTATGAGATGAAACCTGGAGCTGAGGAATGCATCTCTTCAGTTTCCTTAACTTCACTAAACTGTAAATAATTTAAATTATTAAATTGAAATATCAAGACATTTAGGTATTGTTCATATCGCTCATTTTTAACCTTCTAATAATACATCACATTTTAAAAATAATTAAAAAACCAACAAAAAAAGACTTTGGAGGCTATATACTACACAATCTCCATGGCTCCTGCTTCTTGGGAAATCTGTGACAATATTACAATTCCCAGAACCTATTTGGAGCAGTGGAAGAGAATTGTCCGT